ATATCAATAGCTCAATTGGGTACCCGAACTAAAAAAAGGTCCAATCCAATCCTCCAACTCTTCAAAATCGTTCAATTTGTTCGTTTAGCCGGTAAACTCCCGGTACTCAATTGAGCTATTGATATGAGTATAGGGACCTATTTGACCTTTTAGCCTTTGAAAAAACGAAAAAATTGAACGATTTTGAAGAGTTGAAGGATTGGATTGGACCTTTTTTTAGTTCGAGTACCCAATTGAGCTATTGATATGAGTACAGGGACCTATTTGACCCTTTAGCCTTACTATTACTATTACTATTACTATTACTATTACTATTACTATTACTATTACTATTACTGTTACTGTCACTGTCACTGTCACTGTCACTATCACTATCACTATCACTATCACTATTACTACTACTACTACTACTACTATTATTATGATTATTACTACTATTATTACTATTACTATTACTATTTCTATTACTATTAATATTATTATGATTATTAGTATAATGATTATTATTATTATCATCATTATTACTACTATTACTATTATTACTATTATTACTATTATTATTATTAATATTATTATTATTATTAATATTATAATTATTACTATTACTATTATTAGTTTTGTTTTTATGACTATTATGACTATTATTATTATTAATATGACTATTTTTATTTTTATTATTATCATTTATTCCCCTTAAATGTCCTATGAAGACGAACATGGCTAATATGCATCCCTTTAAGCAATTTTAAAATGTAGTAAACTTTTTTGGTAAAAGCTTGTAATACTATAGGGGAAGGGAAGAGTAAAAAATTAGGTATGCTTTTAAGATTGTGTATATAAACAAACTCTATATTTACATGTGGGAGTTTGTGGTGGTTGTATGGAATGCTTTAGTCTATACTTGGCATTCTAAGAAGCAAGTGTGATTGGTTTAGTGCAGCCTTAGAAATGAGGTAGTCATGGAAAATAATTAAACAAAATCAATGACTTATGTATGGCAGCATGGCTAAGCATTAGTTCCAGCAATGACTGACAAGATAAAACAAAATACTCATAACCTCTTTACTAACAGAGATATTTTACAATTTTTCAGAAAACTGGAAAACTGGGAAAAAGAAAACAGAAAACGTGTTTACCAAAAAAAATTGTTGGAAAACTGGAGAAAGGAAAACAGAAAATTGCGTTTACCAAATCATTTTCCAAAACAAAAAATGAGATATGACTTTGTTTTCCTTAATGAATTGGAGAAATGGCTTTTACCACTTTTCCAAATTTGGAAAACGTGGATGTTATAGTGCCGCTGCAATCAATTTGCATACTTACGCCTAGTGTAAGATCCGGTCCCGCTCCAGTGTCTGTTCCAGTTTGGTCCGGTAAATGACCCGACAATCCCTATCTGGTCCAGTCAATGACCCGGTGGAACGGTCCAGTCATTGACCCTGCGGTCCATATCCGTTCTGATCGACGGCCGACCAATCCCGGTCTAGTCCAGTTGACGACCCAACAGTCCCAGTCCGATCCACGACCCGGCGGTCCCTGTCAGGTTCGGTCAATGACCCAGCGGTCCCTATCCGATCGAGTCCACGACCTGATGGCCCCTGTCCGGTCCGATCCACGACCAGACAGTACTTGTTCAGTCCGATCAACGGTCGGGCAATCCCAGTCTGATCTGGTCTAGTCTGTAACACCGCCCCCAAGTATTTGTACCTTATCAAATAATGTATTGAATCCTGAGAAATGAACAAACGCATTTTACGTGATTGTAAATTTTTATCAATTATTTTACGTGAATAGTAAAATTGACGTGGGGCCCACACCAGAAGTGGGGGCCGCCCGATATTATTGGGACTACATATTATATTCATCTGCGCCTAGATAATATTTATATGATGGTGGATATCCTAATTGGGTCGTGGCAAAGGCATGGGGTTGACCGGTTGGTCAAACGAGGCCCAATTATCGGTATCGGTAATTTATCAGATAACAGCCCGGAAAAAAAGGAATCTCGGAGACTTCTAAATTAAAGATGGGAAAGGTATATTCGTCCTAAGGTCCAATAAGGATTGAGAACATGTGTTATATTTTATTTGACCCGATAAAATAAAATATAATTAAAACAATCAAAGAAATACAACTTTCGGGGCCGATTGTACATTTCGTGACAAGAAGGGATGACCTGTAACGCCCCGGCCTCTGTAGGCCCTGAGATAGTTACTTCATACCTCTAGTACTGTCCTCACAAACCGCCACTAGCCTTTTCCGCGCACTTTGTCCTTACTCGTGCGCGCCCTAAGAAACATCCCAGGGGGTCACCCATCCCAAGACTACTCCCGTGCAAGAACGCTTAACTTTGGAGTTCTTGACTAATGAGCTCCCTTAAAAGGAGATGCACCTTGTTTGTATGAGTAGTACTATTAATCCTTTTAAATAAATCTCAAATGTTACAATCACCCCCACTTAGGAACGCAACGTCCTCGTTGCGCCCATAAACCAATATCAATCATATCCCAGAATCTTTTCCCCTTCTAAGTGCCCGCCCGATATCCAACGGATCAGCACACTGTCGCAGGGTTGCTCTGATACCATTTGTAACACCCTGGCCCCGCATTAGAGGTCAGAAGTAACTATCTCGGGGCCTACAGGGGCCGGGGTGTTACAAATGGTATCAGAGCAACCCTGCGACAGTGTGCTGATCTGTTGGATATCGGGCGGGCACTTAGCGGGGGAAAAGATTCTGGGATATGATTGAGATTGGTTTATGGGCGCAACAAGGACGTTGCGTTCCTAAGTGGGGGTGATTATAATACTTGAGATTTAAATTAAACGGATTAATAGTACTACTCATACCAACAGAGGTGCATCTCCTTTTAAGGGAGCTCATCACCCAAGAACTCCAAAGTTAAGTTTGCTTGCACGGGAGTAGTCTTGGGATGGGTGACCCCCTGGAAAGTTTCTCAGGGCGCGCACGAGTGAAGACAAAGTGCGCGCGGTAAAGGCTCGTGGTGGTTTGCGGGAACAGTACTAGAGGTCTAGAGTAACTTCCTTGGGTCCGTGTGGGGCCCTGGGGTGTTACATGACCTCCCACATGAGTGGGGTCCAACCCACGAAAATATCTCGTCAAAGTGAGTTGGGAGGCGTGGGAAATGGGTGTGAGGTGAGAGGGAGTTGATTTGAGATGTTTGGCATCAAAACAAAACATTGGGGGGCCTCCTTCCAAAAGAGTATTCCTACCCATCCCCCTCTCACTAGCTCGGCCAAGACCAAGGAAAAGAAGAAAGGAAGCTCTGCAACTCCATTCTCCCATAGCCAAATTCGAGCTAAGCTCAAAAGGTCAAAGTTAGAAATTTAAAGGAGGAAGGAAAAAGTGTGGTGGTTATGGTAATGACCTTATTTTAACTCTTCTTCTACTTTTTAACTACCATATGACTTATAAGCCCTAGAAGTGTTCTACATTTTTTATAGGTGTAGAATGAGGGGTTGGAAGGTAGTTCTAAGTCCAAGAATGGACTTAGAAGCCAAAGTGACCGGTTCGCCGAAAAATAACCTTTTAGAGGTTATTTGTATTAATGTGGGTTTTATGATGATGAAACCTTATTAGGAACTTGTCTAAGGTATTCCTAGAGCTTTCACGGAGTTGAAAGAGTCACCGAAATGATCGCCGGAGCTAGACAAAGTTCGCCGGAGTTTTCGCCGGAGTTCAACTGGGAGGGTATAACTTCGTAAAGGTTTCACTAAGGTAAGAAGACGGCTTTATGCTTTATAACTTTTGCGTGAGGCATGAGATTACCTAAAGTAATCAAAAATATGTTTTATGGAATGATTAAAGATAATCAAGTATTTGCTTATACAATGATTATATATAAAACATAGTTGCAAAGCATGTTATATATGTTTGGTGATTAAAATTTTATAAATTATTATGTATGATGTTCCAGGTATCCAAAATAGTATTTTTGGATTAAGGACGTCAAGAAGTACATGTGTATAAAACTTCACGTTAATCGGACTTCGTTTGGGCGGTTACCTGGGCCGGTCCCGGGTCCACCATTTCTGACCCGCCGGCCCGTCCGGGCCTAGGCCAGACCCGGACCCAAGTCCATCCATGTTCAAAAATCAAGATTCAAAGGTCTACCGGCTATAAGCTTCTCGGAAGGTGATGTTCAAAAACTGTCTGATCAACATAGAAGAGCTTTGGTGGGTTATTTTTTCAAGGGTAGACCAAGCATGGTTAAAATTCGTAAGGCCATTGAAATTATTGGATTCAAAGGAACTTTTCATTTGGGATTGTTAGATCCAAAACATGTTTTGATACGATTTGATTTGGAAGAAGATTTTATACATTATTGGAATAGGCAGTCATGGACCATCATGGAGAGTACTATGAGTAGGGGTGGACTCGGGTCCGGGCCGGGTCCGGGTCGGGCCTAGGCCCGGCCGGGCCAGCGGTTCAAGAATGGTGGACCCGGGACCGGCCCGGGTCCGGTCCGGTCCGGGCCGGGCCTCCGGGTTGGATTTTTTTTTTTTTTTTTGCTTTCCTAACCCCCCCCCCCCCCCCTCCCAAACCCCCCCAAACCCATCCTACGGTCCTACCCATCAAGCCCAACCCGGGTGGAAGCCCAAAAATGAAAAAAAAATAAAAAAAAAATCAATTTGGCCCGGGCCGGTTCACCAAAATTCAGACCCGAGCCCGGACCCGCCCTACCCCCCGGGCCTAGGCCCGACCCGGACCCGGACCCGAGAACCGGGCCGGTCCCGGTCCCGCACAGTAGCGGGCCGGGCCGGTCCACGGGCCGGGTGGCCCGACCCGAGTCCAAGCCTAACTATGAGGGTTACCAAGTGGTCACCGGATTTCCGTCCTCATGTGGAATCCCCGGTGGTTCCCGTTTGGATTTCTTTGGAGGGACTGCCTATTCATCTACAGGATAAACGAGCTTTGTTTGAAATTGCCGGTCTTATAGGAAGACCTCTCAAAATTGATGCTCATACAGTCATACTGCATCATTGACTCGGCCATCTGTGGCCAGAATATATATTGAAGTTGATCTCAAGAAGGAGATGCCACAAAAAATTTGGATTAATTGTGGGCCAAATGGCTTCTCACAATCAATCATCTATGAGAATAGGACTGAATATTGTGGCTTTTGTTTACACTTGGGTCATTCTGACCCTAAATGCCCCAAGAGAATACATACAGCTTCTCAGCCTCTTTCCAAAGAAAAATGGGTTGAGAAGCCCCGCTCTGAGCCTACAAGAAGATATACATCAGTTGAAAAAGGGAAAGCCAGAGTAATTACAACCACTACTAATATACAATCTACTTCTAAAATCCCTGACATGGTGGAATTGGATTCTGAAGATCTGGATGCTGAAGACATCATTATGGAAGGTCCTCCAATCCTGCAGCTCACAGACAAGAATAATACTAACAACAATGGTTCAGGCATAACTTTAACGGACCCTAAGGATATTCTGGCCAGTAAGGATGATTTTTACCTCAAATCTTTGGAAAACGCACTTGAACATGACCCTTTGATTGCCAGCAAACAATATTCTTCTGAGGGAGAAGAACCTATTGATTCTTCTAAACTGATAGAACAAAGCAATACAGTTAAAAGCAAACTGGAGAAAATGTTTAGTAAATCTACTGAGCTAGTGCAGCAGCCAGAGCAACCTGAGATTGAATCAGCACAACCTGTACAAAGTGAAGATGGTTCAGTGCAAGAAGCTGTGCATGAATCAACTGCAGAAGGTATAATGCAGCACACTGATATGTCATTACAAAATATTCAAAGTGAGAAATCACTTCAGAAGGACAATATGCGTATTCAATCAGTTCAGGATGATCATCAAATTCATAATGAACAACCAGAAAAACCAGTTCAACAGGGCTCACTTTCTGATGATGGTTCAGAGCATCAGCATAGTGAAGAATTGGAAGGGTTCACCAAAGTGACCAGGAGAGGTTCAAAAAAGAATACACAGCAGGAAACCAACTCAAAACGAGTTACAAGAAGGGTTGCAAAGGATTTGGCTGAAGACCCTCTTCCTGATTCTAAATGAATTGGCTAATATGGAATGCCAGGGGTCTAGAATCCTCCAGTTCTAGACTAAGTTCCCTAGTCACTCAATGGAGATTGAAGTTAGTTGTAATTATCGAACCTATTGTTCACTCTTCTAAAGCTGAATTTTACGCCAATGTTTTGGGTTTGAGAGATTTTCTCTTTTCCCCTATTAACAAGATTTGGTTCTTTTGGGATAAATCATGTATGTATATATCTCAAGTGCACTGGCATACCCAGTTTGTTCATTTCAGAATTACCAGTTCTATTTTTCAAGGATGGGTCACAGCAGTGTATGGAGGACATTCTTACACTATCAGAAAGGAGCTTTGGAATGAACTTATTACCTTCTCATCTACTATGACTGAGCCTTGGTTGATTGGTGGTGATTTCAACGCTATTGCCAGTTACATCAGGGGAACTCTTTACCTCTATTGAGAGGGTGAATGACTTTACTGACTGTATTGCTGCCTGCAACCTCATTGATCTTCCTCATAAAGGTCCTTCATTCACCTGGTCAGGTATTAGAGCAAACCGAAGAGTATGGAGAAGATTACACAGATGTTTGCTTAATGAATATTTTTTGGACAAATTTCATTTTATTCAAATTTCACTTCTTAATCAATCACCATCTGATCACAACCCAATGTTGGTCAAATTCAATAACACTGCTCTCTCTAGACCTAGAGTTTTCAGATTTCAAAATATGTGGTTATCACATTCTTCTTTTATGAAGTTTATGGCTGCTAAATGGAGTACTTATCCTACTGGGGGTGGTATGAGAGGTTTGGTTTCCAAACTGCAGAATCTTAAAAAGGATCTAAGAATATGGAACAAAGAGGTGTTTGGAGATATTTTTGATGACATTAAAAATTGTGAAAATGTTGTGCTGGCAGCAAAAAAGATCTTTGAAGAGAACCCAAATGATACTAATAGGGAAAATTGGATGTTTCAAAGGGGATTACTTCTTCAAAAATACAAATTGAAAAAGAAATTATGGAAGCAAAAGGCGCATATCAAATGGATGAAGGAATGAGACTTAAATACAAAGTTTTTTCACTCTTATGTGAAAACCAGAAATAGGAGTCAAGCCATTACCTCAACTAGTGATATCCAAGGCAATTCCTTATCTTCTCCTTCTCAGATTGGGGCTGCAGCAGTTCATTTCTTTGAGGAGCTATATTCTGATCACAATGAAGCTGATTCATTAGATATATTATAATACATTCCTGAGCTTATATCTAATGATGAAAACATGCATTTGACAAGGCTACCAGATATAGAAGAAATCAAAGAAGCTGTTTGGGGGCTGAATCAAAATAGTGCAGCAGGTCCTGATGGTTTTAATGGCAAGTTTTTTAGGAAGTGCTAGGATATTGTGGGGAATGATGTGGTTAGGGCTGTTCAGGAATTCTGTATGGGATTACCAATACCTAAAGGAATGGCTAGTGCTCTTATTGTTCTTATTCCAAAAACTGACAGCCCTTCATCCTTTACTGACTATAGGCCTATTTGCTTATCAAATTTCACTAGTAAGATTTGCACAAAGGTCATGGTCAACAGAATCAGCAATATTTTACCTAAAATCATTTCTCAGGAGCAGGGTGGTTTCATGAAAATAGAGATACTGCTGATCAGGTACTGATTGCACAAGAAATGGTTCATTGTATTGACAAAAAGGTTAGGGGATCTAACATGATCATAAAGCTTGACATGGCTAAGGCCTTTGACAAACTGTCTTGGAATTTTTTGGCAGCTATTTTACTGAAATTTGGGTTCTCCGATTTCTTTGTTAAATTGGTGATTAACAATTTACAGGCCACTCATCTCTCTGTGTTAGTTAATGGATCTCCTCATGGTTTTTTCAAACCAAAAAGGGGAGTGAAACAAGGCGATCCCTTATCCCCTTTCCTTTTTATAATCGAATCTGAGGCTTTCTCCAGGGGGTTAAACAGCCTGATGGATCAGCAAAGACTCAAATGTTATTGGATGGGTCCTAATGGATTTCCTATATCTCATCTAGGGTTTGCTGATGATCTCCTTATTTTTCTTAATGGTGAAAAAAGAACCTTAAAAAATTTTATAAAGTTTCTGGAATGTTATTAATATGCTACGGGGCAGACTGTTAATCTTAGTAAGAGTTCATTCATATGTGGCAAAAGTACCTCTGGCAGACTTAACAGCATCAAAGATATCTTGGGGTTCACCTGCATAAAGGGATTAATAGGTTCAAATATTGTGGACCTATACTCACACAATTTGAGAGGAAGCTCACAGCCTGGAAACAAAAGCATCTCTCACAGGGAGGGAGACTTACTTTAATTAGACATGTTCTGAATTCTATACCTCTACACCTACTGGCAGTGGACTCTTTACCCAGAAAGGTTACTAGAGTGTTGAATAGCATGATGGCTTCTTTCTTTTGGGGATCTCCAACAATAAGAAAAAGCATCATTGGATTAAGTGGTCAAAATTATGTTTTCCTACTGATGAAGGGGTCTGAATATAAGATCCTTGAATGATGTGGAAAAGGGTTTTACTCTTAAGCTATGGTGGAAATGGAAAAACAGGTGATTCTCTTTGGACCAAGCTCATGAGGAACAGATATAATAGGGGAGATGTGATGATACCTAAGCTGACTGATTCCTCTATTTGGAGAAGGCTTTGTCTTGTTGATGAATATGCAACCCAGCTCTGCTCAGTTAATGTTAATGGGAATATTACTTGGAATGATACAGCTAATGGGAATTTCTCTCTCAAATCTGCATACAATGAAGTTAGAGCCAGAAATCAGGAAACTTTCACCTTTAAACATATATGTCATCCAAAGCGGGAGCTTAAGATAAAACTTTTCCAATGGAAAATTGTTCATGGCATTCTTAAATTCAGAAGTTGTTAATCCATCTATATGTCCTATGTGTAAGGCACATGAGGATACATTGGAGCATTTGTTCTTTCAGTGCAGTAAAATATGGCCAATTTGGTATTATTTTATGGGGATTATGGGCATCAAAATGGTGTCTAAGGAGGGATCTGTCTTACAGGTTTTTAGACACTGGTGGATAAAAGCAGGATCCACAGATCTATTGGATATTTTCAGGCATACTATTTCTGGTATGATATGCTGGCATGTTTGGAAAACTTATTCTAATTACATTTGGGGTTCTGGGGATCCAATTCCATCAACAGATCAAATTATCACTCAAATAAAGATACACTCAGAAATGGTCTTTGACTCTGGAAAGGCTGAAAATACGTACGGTCAACAAAATTCTTTATGAGGAACACATCATTTCTTCTCAATTCAAGAGTACTGGCTCCAGAATTCAGATTATTAAATGGAAGAAACCGAGAGGCAGATTAAAGTTAAACACTGATGCTAGTTATTTACCTTCAAGATCTACTGGCGGCGCGATTCTTAGAGATGCGAATGGAAAGATGATTCTAGCTTTCAGTTTCCCACTTGAAGCTTCTTCTCCTTTAGAGGTGGAGCTGAAATCCATTAGTTTTGCAGTAAATCAAACGGTGAAGGATGGATTCAGCAACTTCCAAGTTGAATCGGACTCCTCCATGGCTCTGCGATTCTTGGAAGACAAAGGGGTGCGACGATGGAAAGATATCATTCAGGAAACCATGCTTATTGTTTTTAGGAAAGGGGTTGAGTTGGGCCATACGTTGAGGGAGGGGAATATGGTTGCCCATTTTCTAGCGGACTCTCATTCGGACCACTTCGTTTATTATAGAAGCCCAATTTCTCTTCCTATTGGAGCTAAACGGGCCTACTTTATGAATTACTATGGTATTCCATCTCTCAGATTTTAGCCTATTGATGTATTTTCCCAGGTCAGGTTTAGTCCCCCTGGTTTTTCTCTCTTTAACTTTTTTGGCCTTATCATGTATTTCTTAAAGGGTATGCGGAGAGGTTTTGGCCTAGTCCCCCTTTTCACTGTATGTCTGTATACTTCTGATTCATTAATAAAACTTGGCAATCGTTCCCCGGCGTTTGCCCCACTGATTTTGGTGGTTTGGCTTCCGGGTTAGAAAAAAGCTAGGTATCCGGGAAAGGAGTTAAAAAAGTCAGGTAAGAACTTTATCTCTAGAAGAGTCTTTAAGGTAAATGATCTACGGGTTAAGTATTTTACACGTATATATACAGTATGTATCATCGGGTGGATGAGTTACAGCTATATATATATATGTATCACCCTATTTTTGGGTCTCGTGTCTGAAACATTTGTTATTCTTCATATAGCCTGCTTGTCACTAGTACTTCTTTCTGTGAAGTACTGACTCCTTCGGGGGGCCTCACTATTTTCATGTTAAGGCTAGAGTCCTACTACCTGCACTTTTGCCTAGGGTGATCATCAATAAGGAAGACGTGGTTCGTGCTTCCCATTTCGATTTGAAGTTACAATTCTGCTCATGGATATTTTTTTGAACAATGATTTCTATTAAACCATTTGGGGGCCTGCGTGCCCGTGTTTGCCACGTGTGGCTAATTTCCAAACATACTATTTCCGTATTTGTTTGATTATGATATTGATGTTGATTGTATGTGTTTACTAATCGGTTTGGCAATAGAATCTATCGGACGCCTTGTATGATTCATTAGAGATGAACGGTTGTTATCTTTATTGGGTTGTACGGCGGTTGTCTACGTGGCACGGATTCGGTCCGAGGCATGACAATTAAATTGTATCAGAGCCATCGGTTTCTAAACTATATAATTAACCTCTCAATAGTCTTATCATCAAAAAGTTTTGAACAAAACCATGAGCAAAAGTTTTGTACTTAAGGAACCGTTGGAAACCAAGTTATTGACCTCTTATTGTTAAGACGGTACCCTTAACAGTTTGTTGGCCATAATGTTGGACCAAGTGGTGTCTTTTGTACTATTCCGTCAATTGACATTGAAACGAGTCTAATGGCTCATTTCTGATTTCTTTCAGAAATGGAGGGTGGACGCAGGATCACTAGGAGAAACCCAATGGGGCGTGCACCGGGGGCTACCGGGCACGCTACACGGGCTGAATCACGGACCTCTAGGGGTAGAGGTCGGAGTCAAGGCCGAGGAGGAGGCCGAGGCAAGGGTCGTGGGCTTTCTACAACGCCGATGACAAGTATTACTCGAGTCGGTTCTGTGCACCCGTCTTGGGCCACCGAACCGGACGATTTCACTTATGCTCCAAGCACAGAGCAAGAGGAGACCCCGTACAACGGGGAGGACTTCGAAGAAGAAGATGAGGATAATGATCCTCATTATGAACGTATGAGCGAGGTACTAGAATGGTACCTCAAGAACAAGGCAAAGAGAGAACAGCGGCGTCAAGCTAGACAGGCTAGGCAAGCCATGGGGCAGGGAAGCCGGGGTGCTTCTAGTGCTCCATCTGGGGAATTCGGGGGAAACACGATGGTACGTATCTCCAAGTACCTCAAGGAGGTCAGGGCCTTGGGGTGCAAGTCATTTGATGGCAAGGGCGACATATCTGAGGCCGCCGACTGGATTAAGAAGTTGAATGACGCTTCTAGGGACATGCAAATTGGACTCGACGTGAAGTTGAGGGTTGCCACCAGGCTACTAGATGGGGTAGCTGTTGTATGGTGGGAATACGTGGAAGGAGAGTTCCGCGGCGAAGCCACTTGGGAGAAATTCGAAATGGAAATTTATAATCAGTACTACTCAGAATTTGAAATAAACCTCAAAAGGAGAGACTACACGAATTTGAAACAGGAGGATGGTTGCTCAGTGAGGCAATTGGAACAGAAGTTCTGGGACTTGGCACGATTCATACCAGAATACTCTTTGGATGAAAATTGTATGGCCAATCATTTATGGGGCGCCCTACAGTTGGGCATCCGTGATCGGGCTACTTATCATCATCACATGACTTTTAGCCAAATTGTGGATCAAGGACTCCTTGGGAAACCTAATGGAATCAAAGAAAGGCGAGAGATGCCGAGGAGGCAAAGAAGAGGAGATGGGGAAACTCTGGACCCCAAGACCATTCCCGGAAACATCACGCCGGGGGTGGAAGTTCATTTAGGGCGTCGGCACCACCGGCAAAGAAGAATAAGGGCCCAGAAGGGCATGGGGCCAACCCAGGGAGAGTATGGCCGCCGAGATGCCCAAATTGGGCTAAGAATCATGCAGGGAAGTGCAATACACCACCCCGGTGTTATAAATGTGGTAGCACGAGCCACCTCAAACCCTTTTGCCCAATGTTGAATGGAGGGGGGCCATCGGGGGCTATGGAAGGACCTACGGCTAGTAGGGGACGTGCAGGACCATCACAGGCCGGCACGGGAAGGGGCGGACCCACGGCTAGCAATGCCGCGTCCATTAACCAAGGGACGACCCAAGCACGAGTGACTGCAATGACCGAGGCAGATGCGCGAGCGAACCCGGACTCCATCGCAGGTAATGCACTAAATTTTATATGTTACTGGGCTTGTATTGAAGTTATCAGTCCTAGGGGTCAAGTGCAAACAGACTCAGGGTCGAATCGGGGAAAATTGAGCAAAATCGGGCTGGTACCCGACCGGGTACAATAGGCTACCCGACCGGGTATGCTGGAATTTTGGCCTGGTAAACTCACTGGAACTGATACCCGACCGGGTACAATAGGTTACCTGACCGGGTATGCTAAATTTTTACACCCGCCGGTGCTACTAGGCCGGGTAAAGAAGAAGAATTGCTTTTGGAACTGATACCTGATCGGGTATAGTAGTTTACCCAACCGGGTATGCTGAATATCTATACCCGCCAGCGTTACCAGACCGGGTAGAGCAAGAGAATTGCTTCTGGATTAGATACCCGACAGGGTATAGGGATGTACCCGACCGGGTATAGCAGTATGTTTTAAAAAAAAGGGAGTATTTCGTGGGCCTACGACTCAATTTTGGTAGAGGAATTACCTTACATGGTTTATAAATGTAGGAACGCTAAAGATTAATGGAAAGGATGCGAGGATCCTTATCGATACGGGAGCGCAACGTTCATTCGTTAGTGAGGTGTTTGCCAAGGGATTGGGCACACCTTTAATACCAATGACGCAAACCCTTTTGCTATCTATGCCTCTAAGGGATGACGTTGAACGGAATGACTACTATCCTTCATATGATGTGGAGATAGGGGAGCACCATCTAACAGGTGACTTTGTACCGTTAGATATGCTTGAGTTTGATGCCATACTTGGCATGGACTGGCTTGAAAAACACCATGCAAAGGTAGATTGCTACACTAAAGTGTTAGAACTCAAGGATGGTGAAGGAAATACTTTATGTTTCGAGGGAGATAGAGGAAAATTCAATCATTGCATCATATCGTCCATAAGAGCAAGGCGTATGATGAGGAAGGGATGTCAAAATTACTTAGCCTATGTCATAGGCAAGGAAGGCAAGGGGAAGAGTCTCACAGAAGTGAGGGTGGTGAACGAGTATCGGGAGGTTTTTCCTGAAGAACTCCCGGGACTTCCACCATATCGAGAGATTGAGTTTGTGATTGAAGTAGAACCAAGTACAAAACCTATCTCGATCCCTCCATACCGAATGGCACCGGCTGAACTTCAAGAGTTGAAGGTTCAATTAGAAGAACTACTAGATAACGGATTCATTAGGCCGAGCCATTCACCATGGGGAGCATCAGTACTATTTGTAAAGAAGAAGGATGGTACACTCAGAATGTGTATCAACCACCGTCAGTTGAACAAGGTCACGATAAAGAATAAATATCCCTTGCCAAGGATTGATGACTTGTTTGATCAACTACGGGGGGCAACATTGTTCTCTAAGATTGACTTGAGGTCGGGTTACCATCAATTGAAGATCAAGGAAAGTGACATACCCAAGAGTGCATTCCGTACACGGTATGGTCATTATGAGTTTCTAGTAATGTCGTTTGGGCTCACCAATCCCCCTGCGGCATTCATGGACCTCATGAACCGGGTATTTCATCAATACTTGGATCAATTTGTTATAGTATTCATTGATGACATCTTGGTGTATTCCAAGAATGAAGAAGAGCATGAGAGACACCTAAGGCTTGTGCTTGAGACGCTACGAGATCAGTAACTCTTTGCCAAATTCTCAAAATGTGAATTTTGGCTTGAGGAGATTGGTTTTCTCGGGCATGTGATATTGGGTTCGGGCGTTTCAGTTGATAACTCCAAGATTGAAGCAGTCACTAATTGGGAGAGGCCCAAGAATGTGAAGGAAATACGAAGTTTCCTCGGTTTAGCGGGGTATTACCGCAAATTCGTGGAGAAGTTCTCGGTGATAGCATATCCACTCACGAAGCTCACTAAAAAAGGGGCTAAATTTGTGTGGGATGACGAGTGTGAGAAGGGGTTTCTTGAACTAAAGAAACATTTGACTGAAGCACCAGTGCTTGCTCTACCCGTGCAAGGGTTAGGGTATGACATCTACAGTGATGGTAGTATCCAGGGGCTTGGATGCGTACTGATGCAATCAGGGAAGGTAATTGCTTATGCTTCTCGGAAGTTGAGAAAGCATGAAGTTAATTATCCCACACAGATTGAAGATTTAGAAGCACTACTTCTACGGAGAGTTGTGTCACATCTATACCGACCATAAGAGTTTGAAGTATGTGTTCACTCAGAAAGAGTTGAACATGAGACAGAGAAGATGGATAGAATTGATCAAGGATTAT